AGTTCTATTTTCTTCTTCTGCCATTTTGAAACATAAGAACATAAGAACATAAGAACATAAGTGATTAGTGAAACATTGACGTGTTCAATTTAATGTCTATATTAGGAAATTCTTCCTCATAAATAAATAGTTCCTTGTTTTCCACATTTCTTGGTGTTCTTTGAGCCTACATTCAGTACGAGTAAAATACTTAAGTTCTTTTAAAATTGGATACTTTACGACTTTTACTCAAGTCTTATTGGAATTGGTGACTTGTAACTTGTAATGGAGTAATTTATACAGTAAGGTATCTGTACTCTTACTCAAGTATGGTTTTCAGGTACTCTTTACACCTCTGTTGATAGTGCACATCACAGAAATGAACACAGTTCCATACAATCATATGGTAAGTCTTATAAGAACGGCCAGTCTACAAAAAAATGCACAGCAAGGTTGACAGATTTAGAAGAGCACATGCTACTCATATGGAATATCATGGTAGAGATAAGCACTCCCTCAGAAAAAAGCTTTAGGTATCAGTAAAGGAAGTGGCAGCTTAGCAGCCACAACATCTTTTAAGGAAGGAGATATTGTGGCCAAACAAGGAAGGTATTGTGGTGATACTTTTTGCAATTTAAAGTCTGACAGAATGGACTGCTGCTGTATTCTGTAAATTCTGTAAAAACTTAACTGGAGATACTGTGACCTTATTTCAACCATTTGAAGCATTGCCATCCATAGCCAACCATTACGTACATATACATGTGAAGCACTACATACAAAATGCAAGTGTTTACAGTCACAGACACCAGCAATTAGAGTTTCCCCTTTAAATCTGAAGAAATACAGGACAAATCACATCCAATATTGGCTGAAAATGGGCCCCCGCATTTAAATTTTCACTGCCAGGACAGGTACAGTAACAGCTTTACCAGCAATGTCAAACCCAGTCAGCAGTGAGACAAAAAAGCCTAACAAACCATACTGTCAGCATTTACTAGTATTATGCCCTTTGACAAAAATGTTTATTTTGTGTGATTTATTTATAAAAAGTAGAGTTTACTTTGCCAGAAAAATGGAGCCTTGCAGTAAAGAAATAATGGCCTGACTTTTACTGCTGTATTGCCCAACCCCCACCCCAAGGTGCAGCAACATGACAAATGTTGAATAGCTGGACCGTATGGTTGGAGGGGTTTGAATGCCCTGGTATGGCATTGGAAAACCTTTTCTGCATTTTTAGGCACGCTGTGCTGTGTCCTCGGTGGATACAGTGGCCGCCCACTTCCTCGAGGAGGAGACCCTGCGCTCCCAAGAACTCCTACAGAAGCTGGACTCCCACATCCATGATATGCAGGAGGACAATGCAAAGACCATGCAGAAGTACCTTAAGGACAGGGCAAAGGTTCACTCTGACTAAAAGTCTGTGGGCTGAACCATCCATTATGAAGAGCATTATCAAATGAAGAGCTCATTTGATGAGTTGTGAAGAATGGCTTCTGCCACTTTGGTGTGCAGTCCTCACTGTTACTGAATGGCTGTAGAACACCATTCTAGGCCTTCTATCTTGAAATCAGTAAGGCTTCACCTTTATTCGTTTCGGGCAGGTTTTTTTTTTTTTGCAAACTGTTTACCTTTGTATGTTTGCATGATATGTCACAAAAAGATCATTTTGGAGAGGTGTTATTAATATAATTAAGTTGTATTAAATGTCTTCCTGTTGTCCAGTGGCAATAAATGGTGAGCTTCCAAATTGTCCATTTTATCAAGAATGGTAATGCATGCTTCTTAATGAGAACAAAATAAAAAAAATTATGCAGTTGCTGAGGTTGATCGCTTATATCACTGCCTAATTTTGAGTATGGGGGAAAAAGTAGCAATATTCAGTGAGGGAAAGCATACAATCAAGGTATGTGATGGATACAAGTACAATATGTTCTGCCATATATACATTTGAGCTTCTGTGTCCTAGGATCAATTGTGGGGTGGGAAAACATATGACCTCCACTCCTGCCCCAGACATGACGCTACTGAACAGAACCCCATACACTGGATTATTAAAGTTAGTTCCTGATGTTGCAGGTCAAGTGATTTCAAACACATATATACACACACTCCTACTCTCTCTCTCGCTGTATATGTGTGTGTGTATATATACACATCATGTCCAGAAGTGGAGAGTGTTCCTGGAGGTTGCACAGTGTTCTGCAGCCAGACCCTTCTCATTTTTCACATTTCATGACAGTTTGACAGATGCAGAAGCCATTAGGGGATGCTTTGCAGCCTTCTGCAACTTGTTCACCTGAGGTTAAGATTTTTTGAAAAATCTTAATGCAGAAGCACAAGATATTCCCATGTTTTATGAACCAGCAACATCATATGAAATGTGTATAATGTAAGTTAAAGATGTCAAACAACATAAGTGCAGTCCTTTTCATTACTTGAAAAACAAAGTATGACCATGTCCTCTTAATGTGACCGTAAGTGGATTTGAGTAGGTTCATGTGATGGCTCTGTGATGGACTATCAGTCAATCCTGTTTTCTGTCCTGGCAGCACATTAAATTTAGCAACAATGTCTCAATTTTAATTCATTATCGTCTTTTTTCTGCATTTTGTGCTACAAAATATGTCATATGTTACCACTTACGTTCAAGAGAAAACTACATTTTTTTTGTTTGGTGTTCTTCCTGACATTCCTGGAGAGAGAGCTTGTTTGCATTCTTTCTGTGGGTTTGACACAAAAAATGAGTATTTTTTTTAGCCTACAGCAGAAATGACATCTATATAGGAGTGAAAATTTACTGTGTGGATGGCATGCCTAGGGCAACCTAGGGCAAACAGTTTAAACAGTCAATTGACTGTCTCCCTGGCTGCTTGTCAGCTTCCAGTGTTTAGTATTTAAGTCAGACTTAGCAGCTCAGTTATCCATTTCAATCACATGCAGTACAATGACTTCTTCATCCTTCACTTGGCATGTGGCTGGAAGACATGCAGTTGGTATAACTGCAAAGGAAATGAGCAAGAAGCCATACAATTTGAAAAAGATGTTTGGTGTCAGTGACATTATTCACATCGCACAGGACAATAAATGTATCACATTGTATCAACCGTCAAATTATTACTCTTCTAAATTTTGCTTCTTTTCTCATAACAGCACTGCATTAGACAAGAACATAAGTATTACAAATGATAGTACATAATTAGCTCTGATATTTAATATTTCAACATATACTTTTTCAATGCTGAATAAAATTCGTTACAAGATTTTTTTCCCATATCCTGACTTTTACTCCAAGCTGCAAGCCCAGATTTGAGTGGACGATGCCATCATATACCTGCTGCACTGTACCTATTCCTAGCCAGGAGGATCATGTTTTTTGATTTTTACCATGCCTTACCAGCCAGTCCTACTTGAGAGCAGCTGTCAACTATGCTGGTGGAAGCTACCCTGATGGAATGAATTATAATCTATCTGACCGGACACCCACAGTATGTTCGTCTACAGGATGTCGAGTCGAGCAGCACTGGAACTCTGTAGGGAACATTCCCATCTCCCTTTCTCTTCACACTGTACATCACTGACTTCAAGCACAATACAGAGTTCTGCCATCTGCAGACATGATGGAGTACAGGAGGCTGGCAGGCAGCTTTGTCAACTGGTACAATCAGAGTTGACTATGATTTAACATCGGAAAGACAAAGGAACTCATAGTGAACCTGAAAAGATCATGGTCTCTGGTTGCCCTCTATGCATTTGGGGGGAGGAGATAGAGGTTGTACAGGATTACCCAGGATTATCTGGGTGTCCACTTAGAGCCATTGAGCATATTCAGGCAAAGATTGGTCAACATAAAATGCTCCACTGAATGTCTCAGGAAAGCATTCCTTCTGACAGCCTGTCGGCTGCCTGCCAAAAGCCAGCCAAAGGGAGTAACCCCCCTCCTTCTGGGGGTGTTCCTAAATTCTCGTCTAAACCCGCCCATATATTCACTTGCAGGGTGTTACCATGAGATGACGCTTTCTTTACAAAAACACATTTTAGTTCTGGTCACAAGTTTACATATACAAGTACAACAGGTATCAACCAGAATCTTTTGGTAGCCATTAGCAAGCTTCTGGCATAATTATGGCTGAATATTTGACCACTCTTCTTTGCAGAATTTCTAGTTCATTTAAACTAGTTGGGTTTCTGCCACGGACCCGGCTTTTAACCATAACTCACAAATTTCAAATAGGGTTGGATTGGGCGTACTTCACAAAGCAGGATTTCTTGCTTAGCCGAATAACTTGTTGGAGTTAAGGTAAACTGAAAACACAGCCGAAGTTTTTACAATGCCACAGACAAACAGGGCTAGGTACTTGGCTAGCGAGCATGCTGGTACATACTAATCCAGTGCTATGATATTATACAGTACATACAAAAACCCCTTGGAAGTGCAAAGCATGTGCTTTCTATCTCTGCCTTCAACTAGACAGGAACTATTTTGAAGCTTGGCATCCTGATCAGGAGTGACAATTTGTTGTTCTAATATTCATTTATTGTTTTGTATTATTCCTGTATATATAATGTGATTGCATTATTCATCAATGTTTAATCCGTTGCATCTTATAAACTGTAAAAAGGCTAGTATTGTGTCTTTTCTTACAGTTTTTTTCAATTGCTAAGACAGGGTAGTATCTATGGTAGTATCTCTTCACATGCCTGATCTATCCTTGGCATTGCTCTGGAGAAATATCTTGGCATCCAGCATTCATTGTTTGATCTTGTGTTAATTGACATAATTTGTTTATATTATGTGGTTTTTATTATCTATTTTAGAAAAGTAATTTAGCAAAATGACATATTTGACTGTCTTTTTAGCAGCATTAGGGTCAGTATGTATTGGCATGTGCAAAATGGCCTCTGAAAATTTTTTGTTGTGAGTGAGACAGGGATCCATGACTTCTGAAGCATTTAGTCATTGATTGCATTTTGTATGAAAGTAAAGCAAAATGCTTAACAGTTTAGCCCACATAAGCTAATGTGGTGACTATGAAGAGTTTTGAGAAAGCAACTTCAGTATTGCAGTATCTGTCTTAGCAATTAAAAAAATCTGTAAAATTCACACTGCCTTTTCTTGGTGTGAGGAGCAGTGACAGACATTCATTCCAGACTGATGGGCCATTGACAGTATGCAAAGGTGTGGTGACTCCAAAGTCACTTCAAAGTTGTAACACTTTAGTAATCAAACCTCATACAATTTTTTGAATGTCTCATTCACCTTTGTGTAGCCAGCCCCTATGTTTATAAGCTTCAGAGCTCAAAAGTCTTGGCTAGAAATGTCTATAATGTGATTTTTTTTTTACAATTTGTCAGCACCACTGAAAATAGGTTTTTGAAAAGTGTAGGTTTAAAGTAGATTCTAAAAAAAAGGTAGAACAATCACATTCTAAATTATCTCAGATTATCGGTGCTGAATAAAAGCATTTGTATCAGTTTGGGATAAATGTTTTTTAGATAGGTGAAATATTTTATAGTTTTTCCGAATTGTTGAAATATTAAAAATCTTTTTGGGAACAAAACTGCCAATTGCCAAAAGTAATTTATTGAATCAGTTATTTGTTTGGCGAAACTTTAAACCGTGCTCACCTAGTTAGACACAACTTGCAGATTTCAGTCATCATTTTTGCAAAACTCGAAACACATTCTAATTAATCAAAACACATTTTGCACTATGATGAACTTTGACGCAAAATAGAAAACACAGGCCGCATAGGTTAAGTGCAGCCAGCACTTAATCGGTGCCATTGGCTTTGAATAAACTGAATTGACAGTGCTGTCACTCTAGCTTCACAATTGCTTGTGGGATTGGAG